TAATACGCTATGACACAACCGAGACAAGTTGTTTTTGTGTACTAGGCTGCGGGCTACAGCCATTGTAAACCTAGGACCCTGCTACATAACCGTCCCAGGAGCTAACGTCCCTTCAAAATGTCAGTGCCACCGGGACCTCCTATGACAGGTGGGCAACGGAATACTCCAGAAGCATGCTATAAAAAACTCAGGATCCTGTGTCGAACCACCAGGACCGGCCATAATGGATCCGGGATTGCACAACCATGTAACACCTCTGGGGCTACCTGCCAAGGACCTGTATCCTTGGGTCTACCCAAAGGGACTTGGGGCTGCTGTAACATCATACCATGGGACCTTTCTCTAACAATAGGCTCAGGGCCTGGAATAACTACTTCCCTAAGAAGTATCACTTACCAAAACTGGCCCTACCCCATTAACACACATGGGCATACTGCCTCCTCCCAGTAGGACAGGGAGGCAAAAACTAGGATTATCCCATTGGGAACCACCTGTCCATCAGTTTGTCGTACTGTGGTAGCTTACAAGTTGCTATGATGCTGGAAGCTGTGCAACCAGTATTTCAAATACCAGCAGGGTCACCCATCATTGGCAGGTTTCAGGGGAACTTCCAGACTAAGACAGCCTAGGAAGAAAGGCCTAGCAATCTACCTCTGAAAATTAGCCAATGAAAACCTTATGGATCACAACAGAGCATGTCAGACTTGCTCGCTTTGGACGTGTCATCAGGAGGAGATGTCATGCTGGAGGAGGACATTGTGTTTGGTGAAGTAGAGGGCCAGCAAGGGCAAGGAAGACCCTCGGTGAGATGGATTGGCACAATAGCCGTGAGGATGGACTTGAACATGCCAGTGATCGTGAGGATGACACAGGACCGGGCCATGTTTGATTCTGTCATACATAAGGTCGCCATGTTGTTGTTAGGTGCCGTCGAGTTGGTTCCAACTCATAGTGACCCTATGTACAACAGAATGAAACACTGCCCAGTCCTGCACCACTCTCATAATCGTTGTTATGCTTGAGCCCATTGTTGCAGCCACTGTGTCAGTTCATCTCCTTGAGGGTCTTCCTATCTTTAGCTGACACTCTACCAAGCATGATGTCCTTCTCTAGCGACTGGTCCCTTGTGATAACATGTCCAAAGTACGTGAGACGAAGTCTCACCATCCTTGCTTCCAAGGAGCATTCTGGCTGTACTTCTTCCAAGACAGACTTGTTCACTCTTCTGGCTGTCCATGGTATATTCAGTATTCTTCTCCAGCATCATAATTCAAGTGCATCAATTCTTCTTTGGTCTTCCTTATTCATTATCCAGCTTTCACATGTATATGAGTTACATGAGTTGGAGTCAACTCTACTGCAGCTAACAACAACAGATTGGGAAACCGAGGTTCTGGGAGGGAGGTCCGAGGCCACACAGCTAGTAAGTGGTGGGGCCAGAATTCTGACTGGTTTTAACAGAGCCTGCAGTCTTAATGCTTCCAGTCACTCAGTAACCTGAGGCCTAGGTTCCAGCCCCCTCTGTGAGAAAGTGGGAGTTTAAATTAATCCCTTCACTCAACAACTATTTATGGAGCGCTTACAACTTGCTCTGGGTTCTGGGGACACAGAGAACACTTCTGTCTCGGAGCTCCCAGTCCAGTGGGGGAGACAAACCATCAACATACAAATAAACATCCAAATAAAATACAGACTAGAAAGAAAGGCCTGGCGATCTACTTTCAAAAATTAGCCAATATAAACAAAAATTGTTCATACAATAAGTGTACAAATATGCAAGAAATAGATTCTACCTTGCAATGGAGTAGAATAAAGCTGGGAAGGGCAACCCGAGGGTTGGAAGTTTTACAAGCGGAAGTAGGTTGGCGAAGAGAAAAGACTGATGCAGGGCTGGAGGCAGCCAGGTAGAAAGCTGGGAAGGGGATTCCAGAGGAGGAAAGAGCCTGCGCAAAGGCTCAGGCTGGCAGGAGCAGGTCTGGTGGGAAGGAGGAGGAGGCACACGTGGCTGCAGCGGAGTCATCCTGGGACGGCGGGTGGAAGGGAGGGCAGAGGGGAATCACAAGGCTGTGACTGTGACCTAGGAATAGTAGCTTCTTCAGTCTGCACAACTCTAAAAGAGGGCACATGCAGTTATTCCCGGGTCTGGGGTCTTTCTCCTGGGTCATTGTAGCACGCCCCTACCCTGCCAGTCGGCGTTGCTCCCCCAGGGTACACCAGCACAGGCCGCGCCCTACACTCAGCAGGCTAACAAACGATGGGGTTCCAGGGAGACGCCCCAACGACCGACTGCGGTGGAGGAAGTGAGGGGAGCTGGGCTGTTGTTGTTGTAAACACAGCAACCCCACCCCGAAAGGAAACACCTGCGGCAGAGGGGGGCCACCCGCTCTAAGCGACCTTGGATCCCTCTGAGTCCCTGTCCCCCACCTCTGGATTCCTGTCCACCGCCCCGTGTCCCTGTCCTCCTCTCTGAGTCCCTGTTCCCCCCCCCCGGGTCCCTGTCCCCCTCTCTGGTTCTCTGTCCCTCCCTCTCTGGGTCCCTGTCCCTCCCTCTCTCTGGTTCTCTGTCCCTCTCTCTGGGTCTCTGTCCCTCTCTCTGGTTCTCTGTCCCTCTCTCTTTGGGTCCCTGTCCCCCTCCTGTGTCCCTGTCCCCCTCTCTGAGTCCTTGTTCCCCCCCCGGGTCCCTGTCTCCCTCTCTGGTTCTCTCTCTCTCTGGGTCCCTGTCCCTCTCTCTCTGGGTTTCTGTCCCTCTCTTTTTGGGTCCCTGTCCCTTCCCGTATCCCTGTTCCCCTCTCTGAGTCCCTGTTCCCCCCTCTCTCTGGGTCCCTGTCCCCCTCTCTCTGGGTCTCTGTCCCTCCCTGTCTCTGGGTCCTTGTCCCTCCCTCTCTCTGGGTCCCCGTCCCCCTCTCTGGGTCTCTGTGTCCCTATCCCTGCTTTTCTTGGTCACTGTTCCCCTCTCTGGGTCCCTGTCTCTTTCTCTGGGTCTCTGTCCCTCTCTCTCTCTGGGTCCCTGTCCCCCTCTCTGGTTCTCTGTCCCCCTCTCTCTGGGTCCCTGTCCCTCTCTCTGGTTCTCTGTCCCCGTCTCTGGGTCCCTACCCCCTATCTCTCTAGGTCCCTGTCCCTCCCTCTCTCTGGGTCCCCGTCCCCCTCTCTGGGTCTCTGTGTCCCTATCCCCGTTTTCTGGGTCACTGTTCCCCTCTCTGGGTCCCTGTCTTTCTCTCTCGGTATCTGTCCCTCTCTCTGGGTCTCTGTCCCCTCTCTGGGTCTCTGTCTGCCTGAGTGTCTGTCTCTCTCTCTTGGGTGTCTGTTCCTCTTTCTCTGGTTCCCTGTCCCCTCTGTCTCTGTATCTCTGTCCCCCCTCTCTCTGAATCTCTGTCCCCGTCTGGGTCTCTGTCCCCTCTCTCTCGGTCCCTGTCACCCCCCCCCCCGGTCTGTTGCCCTCTCTGGATCTGTCACCTCGACCCCCAGTGTGTCCCCCTCTCTGGGTCTCTGTCCCCCTCTAGCACAGGGTGGGGCAGGTGTGCAGGCTGAAACCTGAGTGGTGCACACCACCCCCTGCCCTGTCCCTGCCCCTTCCTGCCCTCTTTGATGCGGCCCCACTTCCTCTGGCAGGAACCCCCGCCCTCGCCGGGCCGGGCTGGGGTAAAAGGCAGCGAGCGGCTGGGCCGGCAGGAGGTGGCGTCCTGCAGGCAGCGCAGAGGCTCCTCTTCCTCGCGGCCCTGTCTCCCAACCCTTGTACCAGTGCTGTGCCTCGGACCCTGGTACAGGCGTGGGGGACAGGGACCGGGGATCCCACACCACCAGGGCCTGAGGGACAAAGCCAGCAGGAGCAGTCCATCCGTCTCTGCCCTCCACCCCAAGCCTCCGCGCCTCCCTCCTGCCTCAACCCCTCTTCCTCCTCTTTGTGTAACGCTCATCTCTCTCCAGCTGTTTCTAAAACCATCAGTCCTGTCCACAGCTTCTCGACTCTGTAGTTTCTTGTTGTGTCCAGCGGAGCCTGTCTCCACCCTGACACTCCAGGCCCCTCTGCCTGGCTCCGACTTCCCACTCTTAACCTCTCAGCACTCAAGGTGGGCATCTGCCACCCTGGCAGTTTCTTTCCCTAAATTTGCCTGCGCCTCAATAGCATCCTGGCCCTGCTCCCACATCCCCTTATCTCTAATTTCTCTCCTTAGGGACTTCTGCCTCTGCCTCCCCTTCCATCCACCTGTCTCTCCATCAGTCCCACCTCCAGGCTGAAACCCTGGCACTGCTGAGCTGGGGTCCAGGTGGCTCAGGCCTGGCCTTCACTGTGCCACCTGCCCCCAGGCCCATTTCTTTCCTTGGTTTTAAGAGGCAGCTGGTACAAAGGAAGTTTCCAGAACCTGACACTTGGGTTCCTGCTCAAGCTCAGCTACTTCCTGAGACTCCAGGCTGAGGCTTTGGCCTCTCTGAGCCTGCTTCCTCTTCTGCAGTGGGGTGGGCAGCCACTTGAGAGTAGGGCCTAGAAGTGTCTCTATGGCCAACTGGGCAGAGCCCAGGCTGTACTTCCTGCTCCCACCTTTGCTGTCATGGGACACAGGAGGGCCCAGGCTGAAATCAAAACCCTCCTATTTCTATAGCCAGGGACCTGGGAAAGCCTCAAGCCCACTTAGGCCTCCTAGCCAATGCCCTAGACCAGAGGTGGGGAGGACCCCGGAGCCTCCGCCCTCACTTCCTCCCCAGGGATTGGGGGGGTGGGGAGGAGCTCAACACTGGGGTAGATGGACTTGTTTAATCAGCCACCAAGCAGGACTGACAAGGACCAAGAGGAGGCAGCAGAGACCCACAGAGACGAGGAGCATCTAGGGCAGGTTCGTTTTTGTCCTTCACCCAGAAATGAATTGCAGACAGGAGGTGGGGATCTGGTCCCCATTCCCGTCCTTACTCCCCAGAGGATGAAAATGAACCTGAACTTTAGTGTCAACCCCACTACATTCCAGGAACAATCACCTCCAGGCCCCCTGAAAGACCCCATGAGTCTGGTCTGTGAATGGGAAAAAATAACTTTATTTCACTTGGGGTGGTGGCAGCGGTAGTGACAGTATTTGGGCTCAAAGCTTCTGTAACGGCTTCTCGGTGCCGGCGGTCGGCGGCGGTAGGCATCTGGAATCAGAACTTCTGAAACTGCTTCTTGGTGCCGGCGGCCTTGGTCACCTTGAGCACGTTGAAGCGCACAGTCTTGCTCAAGGGCCGGCACTCGCCCACTGTGACGATGTCGCCGATCTGGACGTCCCTAAGGAAGGGACAGCCACCATGTCATCAGAAGGGGCCCAGTGACTCTGAGCAGACCCATCTGCTCTGGCTCCTCCAAACCCCAAAGAAGCTCCAGTTTCTATCTTACCCAGTGCACTAACCCCACACCCTGGGCAGCACAAATGGTTAAGTGCTCAGCTGGTTAAGTTCAAGTCCCCCTAGACGTGTCTCAGAAGAAAGGCCTGGCCATCTGCTTCTGAAAAATCAGCCACCGAAGACGCTATGAAGTGCCATTTTACTCTGACACACATGGGATCACCATGAGTCAGAGTTTTCTCAACAGCAACGGGTGGTAGCGGTAGCCCCCCCGCTCCAGGCACCTCAGTCAGGTATCGTTGTCATCTCCTCACACGACAAAACCGGAGGCCCCAAGGGTGGTCACCGGCTCAAGGCAGCCTCCCCACCTCCACCTGTGCTCCCCAATAGTCTACAGCCGATCCCCCCAGGGCAGACAAAGGGATCCTGGGAACACCCAGGTCAGGCCCCCGATCATTCCAGATGAGTGCAAAGGACTCCCAGGCCAGCCTTAGTACTTGCTGCATCTGTCTGCAAGTCGCCTCCTCCGCCAGCACCCCCCCGCCCAAGGAGGGCTGCCCCAGCTCCAGTCATCCTTTCACCTGTCCACTGCCTGATGCCCACCCTACTAGATTGTGTTTCCCATGACAGCAGGACCTCATACTGCACTCACCATGGGACCCTCAGCATCAACCACCAAGTCAGGCATGGGGAAACTACACACAAAACAATGGTTAAATGAACAAGCCCTCAAATTCCCGTCTTGCTAAGGTTCCTGGCTGGCACAACAGTCTGTCTAGCCTTCTGATCCTAAGACTTCTAACTCCTAGAACATTCCTATTCAGGCTTTGACAGAAATGCCACCCCAGTCAGGTGCCCTGTGCTCACCTGAAGCAGGGAGACAGGTGCACGGACATGTTCTTGTGGCGCTTCTCGAAGCGATTGTATTTTCGGATGTAGTGGAGGTAGTCTCTGCGGATGACAATGGTCCTCTGCATCTTCATCTTGGTCACCACGCCTGGGGGAGGGGACAGACTCTGGGTCAGATTCCATAGGGGGGCCTGGGTCACCCAGGGGATGCTGGGAATTGGGAGCTGCTGAACAGGGCTCCCAAGAAGCCCAGCTACCATCCAAAGGCCATCGCGAAACTAAACATCATCTGCAAGTGCCCCCTGGCCCAGGAGTGCTGGACCCCAACCCCCTTTCCATATCAGGGACTCAGCTGTTCAGACCTCAGACTCTCAGCCCTTTCCCCTGTCAGAACTCAATGGTCCTGGCCTCTAGCGTCCTCCACTCTCAGACCGAGGGATCCAGGCTCCTTGCCTTCCTCACTCACCAGACAGAATGCGCCCTCGGATGGAGACGTTACCAGTGAAAGGGCATTTCTTGTCAATGTAGGTGCCTTCAATAGCCTGAACGGGATAAGGAAGAGAATTAAGTGAGCACCGGACAGGAAATTTTTGAAGAGAGCAGGGGGTGTGGCCTCGGAGGCAAACTCTAATTCCCAGCAGCCCCTGGGCAGCCATTCAAATATGGGCACGGCAACTTGGTTTGGGCACACGTGGAGGGGCATAAAGGTCTTATTTTCTCTTCTGAAGAGTCCCTGTACCTCCTTGGGTGTCTTGAAACCCAAACCGATGTTCTTGTAATAACGCGGGAGCTTCTCCTTGCCAGTTTCTCCCAGCAGGACCCTCTTTTTGTTTTGGAAGATGGTCGGCTGCTTTTGGTAGGCACGCTCGGTCTGCAGAGATGAGAAAGAATCTGGTACGTGTGGGGCAGGCAGAGCTCTTCAAACCCTATCCTCCACAGCATTTACCCCCACAGCCCAGCTTTTCTAAAGCTGACCCCCAGAATACTACCCACCTTCCAGAATTAACCCCCAAAACCAAAAGACCCAAGAATCCACCTCATGGCTCAGAGGCCAGAATTACCCTCTAAAACACTCCCACCCGGAATTTACCTATAAATCAAAGACTCAATTCTAAACTAGGGGTTATTTCAACATTTATATTGCAAAACACCTCCTGCTGCCCGCATAACTCGCCTCTTAAACCTGGAAAGCAAGAATTACCCCTCTAACACCCCGGACACCTTTCAGCAAGGTTTATTCTCCAAGACACAAGGTCCTCCCGCCCCATTCAGGCGTCACTCCCAACTTAACATCGGGTTTCACTGCTAAGTACCAGAACGACGGCTCCCTGGATCAGCCCTTAGGACTCAGTTCTCACAGGATTAACTCTCAAGGTCCGAGACCTCCAGAAAAATCATCCCTTAAACTTTGAATCTTAAGAGGATATGCCCTACAAACTATTGAAACCTCCATTAAGCACCAAGCGCGGCGCCCCAAGAATTTATGAAGCGCCAATCTAGATTAATCCAAAACCACGCGTCCTCTGCCAGAGTCAATCTCTAGGAAATCGAGAATGCTCCGAATTAAGTCCCAAACGAGAACACAGGGGCTCAGCTCTTCAGGACGCGCCCCCGAGGCCCCGGGCGGATCCTGCATCCTCGGCGCCAGGACCGAGCTCACACCTGAATGTCCGCCATCTTCCCGGCCGCTTGGAAAAAAGAGAGCCACAGCTACGTCGGCGCTTCCTTATCGGCTGCACAGGCACACGAGAGGAAGTGACGTTTAGGAGGCGGGGGTGGGGGTGGGAGTTGGGGGAGGCCTATCCCGGATTTCGGCGGTTCCTTAGGCGCGACTCTGGTTGACAGGCGGCTCTAACCAACCTCGCGATTGGAGGACTGTACGGACGCGACTGTTCTGGTCTCACGAGACTCTTAGGCCATCATTGTGCAGGGCACATTAGTTCAGGCTGGGAGGCGTGACCAACCTTGAAAGCGCCTACGTCATCGCTAGAGTTAGAGGGTGGCTGTCATGTTTCTGCAGGGCAGGGGATCTTTGTGGGGCTTGGGGACCGCATGGCCTTGTTCGTGCAGGGTTCAAACCAGATGCGGCGGCGGCCGTCTTTCTGCGGGGCACGCGACCGGAAGGTCGTAGGAGCATGTGCAGCGCAGCGCCATTTTTGGGAGGGGCGAGATCTGCTGATGAACTTTCTGTAATTTAGTAAATCGCTTACTTCTTCTACCTATTTCATCCCCAGACAATGAATTGGAGGGGAGGGGGGCGAGGTCGGGGGAAGCCCTGCTTATACTGTTTTTCTGTCTATAGCAGCGCTCCAGGACCTTCTGTGGTAGTGTAAGTGTTCCGGATTTGCGCTGTCCAGCAAGGTAGGCGGTGGCCACGAGAGGCTTTTGATCACTGGAAATGTGGCGTGTGCGACTGACTTGAATTTTTCATTTAATTAGATCTAAATTTAAATAGCCATGTGTGGCTAATGGCTACCATGCTGGACAAGTCTATAACTGATAATTTTAAAATTACACTCTTAAAAAACGATTTCAACGTGCTAGACATTGTGCTAATAATAAGCACTTTATTCACTTAGTCATCAGAACAACTCTCTAAGGATGGTTCTGTTGATATTCCCATTTTATTGCTGGGGGAACTGAAGTACAGCTGCTTCATATGTCACAGAAATTGAGAAGCAGAGTCGGGATTGAACTCAGGCAGTCCATTGTTCCTAATCACCTATTATAAAGAAGGAACGGTATGCCCTCTTTATATTCAGCTCACGTTTGATGAGCACCTACTGTGTACTAGGCCCTATGCTGGGCAGTGGTAATGACCACCTGATGTCTCTAGACAACCCTGGCATCCCCCACCCCCCCGGGGTGACTTGGACTTTGCTGCAGGATTTCAAACTCCAGGCCTTGGCACACGCAGGTATCTCCTGCCTCTTCCCTTAGTGAAGTCTTGTCCTAATTGAATTGGGGGTTTCTTCCTTCAGTGTCAGTCCCCTCTCTGGAAATGCATGTTCAATCGCTCCTCCCACCTTGATAGTACTGTGGTTACTCTTGGAAAAGGAGAACGAGGACTGAGGCTGAGAGAGGAGGGGTGAAGTCAGGGTCACACTTTTAGCCAAAGGCAGTCAGGAAATAAAACCAGGAGGATCTGAACCCTAAGCTTTCTTCTCACCAAAATTGCCTCCTAAATTGTAGAGGAGGTGGGAGATGCCAGAGGCTCAGAAATACTCATAAAGTTTGGCGGTTCAGACTCACCCAGTAGTGCTGTGGAACAAAGGCCTGGTTATCTGCCTCCATAAAAATTACAGCCAAGAAAACCTATGGAGTTCTACTCTGTATCTCTGTACTCTGAGTCGACTCAACAGCAACGGGTTTGATATATGGTCTCAAAAGTCTTAATGCTTTTTCAAATTATAACATCGGAGAAACAAATGCTATAAAAATTCAGTCAAAAGTTTCTTTCTTTACACTGACTAGCTTTGTGGAATTTTGAATAATAAAATTAAAAATTTAATTATTTCAGTCCCGCTGAGGGTAGCTAATATTAAGGGGCAGGGATTTTTCATTTTATGGTTTAGATACTTCTGTGTGTTCCCCTAGTAGTATCTTTATTTTCAACAAAAACTAATTTCTGGGGTGTGTGAATAATTTGGAAAAGGACTTATGATACTCATCTTAAAAAAAAGAAAAGCAAGACCCCCAGTTGTACCTACAATGTGGGTAGAACCACAAACAAAAGATATTAGAAAAAAGCCTGGAAGGAAATACCCAAACAGTCCCAGTGGTTTCCTCTCCAGGTTAGGTGTGACTTCCTTTCTAGTTTTTTAAATGCTCAGTATTTTGCAGATGTGCTCAGAGTAGCTTGTGCAATTCTGACGATAAGGGAAAAAAGCAAAAATACATACTTGGTCTGAAGGGATGAAAGCAATGTGGAGATGTTAAGGTGCATAGCTTTCAAACTTTTTTTGACCATGGTAGGACGTTCTATATTGTAATCAGTTCTCCCTTTTCTTCTTTTGCCCCACCTTTCTCCGTCCCTCCTTCAATTCTCCCTCTAGTTATCTGAAACAAGTTTTCGTAATTCTACTTTCCTTTCCTTCCTGTAACACATTTTTTTAGTTCTAGTCCATTTCCTTTATTTCAATGTTGGTTACAACCCACTACACTGATTCTTTGACCAGTGTTTTAAAAAGTGTTGGTGTCTAATAATAAACTTGAGCAAATTCCACTTACTACCCCATGAGGGAATATTTTCCTGGCTTTGTCAAATTCCAGACACATTTTCTAGCATTTTGCAGCAGAAATGCCACCAACAGGCTAGAAGATGACCACCCTCACCACTTAACTCAGAATACCCATTATCTACGTGGGCTCAAACTGCAGTTAGATAGGAAGCTTAGGGGGCAGGGAGTTTAACGGGGAAGGAACAACTCAGAAAAGGTAGGTGGCAACGGTTGCAAGACTTGAATGTAATCGTCACTGAATTGTACAGTTGAATTGGTGTATGTTTTGCTCTGTATATTCTCAACAAAATAAACCACATTAAATCAAGACCAACTTTGCAATCTTATATTTGACTGTTAAAAGTCATTCCTGCCCTTGTGGGTGGGGCTGAGACAGGCTTTGTGTTGGGATACATTTAAATACTTAAGTCCTAAATCAGTAGTATTTCTAAGTATTGTCCATCAAACCCAAAAGTCAATCTTAGAACTCCCTTTTTGATGACAGTATCTACTTCCTTTACTATGTTTGAGCCAGACTACGCCACTTACTAAGGTGATCCCACCAGTCACTTGTACTCAAGCCTCGTGAGCTGAGGCCGACAGGAAAGGGCTAAATACTCAGAACGCCCCATCACTGTTGTTAGGTGCCATAGAGTTGGTTGACTCAAGAGACCCTATGTACAACAGAACTGCCTGGTCCTGCAGTGTCCTCACAATTGTTATACTTTGGCCCATTGTTGCAGCCACTATCAATCCATCTCATTGAGGGTCTCCCCTTCAGGAATTCATCTTGGTATACCCAAGATAAAGGGCCTCAAGATAGAGTCTATGGATAAGTTTTCAATTTTAACACTCCTAATGTTTCATAATGTCTGTAGTTCCCAGGTGGCACAATGATTAAGACCCACAGCGTGCTACAGCTGCAAACCAAAAAAGTCAGCAGTTCAAATCCACCAGCACCTCCTTGGAAACCCTACAGTTCTACTGTCCTATAGGCCACTGAGTTGGAATCGACTCAGTTGGCAATGGATTTAATAGTGCTCAAGTTTCAATACACAAAAGAATGACTAGGTGCACAGCCATGCCCCTCAGTGTGGCTACAAGATCAGAAACCCGTGTGCCTCAATGGGAGATTGATAAAAATCTGGTTAATTCCATACTTTGCAGCTAAATTAGAATGAAGAAAAGCTCTATAAATTAAGATGTTCCCCTCTACCACCAGGCCCCACAGGGCACAATTAATAAAAGCTGTTCAGTAGGCTTGCCCAGGCATTTAACTCTCCAGAAAAATTCTTGGCACACCAATGGTCTGTACAAAAGTCCCTTCTTCCATCAAGTGCAGACTGCAGAGCAACTCTGATTTATGGTAAAGACCTGAACCCAGACAGCCAAGCTTTACTCTTTAATCCCTTTTGTGCCAAGAGTGATCTCCCTGGGGTCTGTCTCTGGACCAGACATAGTGCAAAGACACCAATCTTGTTTACAAATAATTTATTAGTTTTTAATTACAAAATAGAGGGAAGTAATTAAGGGCAGTGCCTGTGGCCCCTTGGTGCCAGCTCTTCCTGATTCATGCATTTATAAATACCCACACCCCAGGATCATACGGTGCATACAAGCTTTCTGGAACATTCTAACAGCTGCAGAGTATGGTATAAAACCACGCAGAATGTTTTCCACGCAAGTGCCCCATTTACTATTTAGAGTTCCTTGCAACTGGTTTTTACTTTTGCAAATAACTGCAATCAAAGTGACTGGCTGCTGCTCCTACCCATTTACAAAAAGTTCTAACATGTCACTAGCTGTGAACTCTTTAGAAAAAGGCCTTCCTGAAATGGAAGCAGTGGCCATGGGTCTGACCTACGCCCTTTCGGCACATCCCCAGGCTTCCTGTGGCACCTGGACATTAACTGTGGTGAAGAGGCCCCCATGTCCCAGGATGATGATGGAGGAAGGGCAGGCCAGGCCAGTGAGGAATAACAGTCTTTATTGGGCTCAGACCAGGAGTCCATGGGTCTTGAGGACCTCTGTGAATCTGTTGATCTTCTTCTCCACGTTCTTCTCGGCCTGTTTCCGCAGCCTCTGTAGAGGGAGAATAACTAGTGGTCAGGACAGGTCCTGTCATCACTCCCATCCCACGGACCTGATCCCACCCCTGCACCCAACCCCCAGCTGGCATCAGCATTGCCTTAGGCAGAGTCGGCAGAGCCCCCCCAGGGGCGTACGAAGACCATCGTGAGAAGAGACATCACCTGCCAGTCCCGTCATGAGTGCAGTGCCCCGTTAACCTAGCCCTGGCCCCCTCACCATAAGCTGCTTTTTCTTTCTGTAATGGAGCTTAGCCTTCTCCTTCCTCTTCTCCTCCAGAGTGGCTGTCACCGCCTGGTACTTCCAGCCTACCTCATGAGCGAGGCGTCCCAGGTAGGCAAACTGGGGACAAAGAGGCAGAAAAGTGAGTAGGTACAAGTGCCTAATCCCAGGGCTGCGCAGCAAGAAACACCTGTCCTAGAGAATCCTGAGAATTTATCAAAATTATCTTCCCCAGCCAACCCCAACTCAGAAAAGCCATCATCCACCCCCAACACAGGCACCGCCCCTCTTGGCATCAGCTAAGCTATCGGCATTTATCGGCAGCGCCCACAGGGGCATCCGCAGACCATCGTGAGATAAGCCATCATCTGCCAGGGCCTTGAGAACATGAGTTCACCAAACTTAAATTAGAAGACCCACTCCTAACCTGAGTCCCTGGGGCTGGAACTCACCTTACGTGTGGGCTTGAGTCGCACAACCTTGAGGGCAGCAGGAACCACCATTCGCTTTTTCTGTGAAGGAAGGAGAGGGCTTAGAGGCCTGGAGTGACAAGACAGACATGGTGAAACAGCCAGGTCCGGCATCTCAGCCAGTGCTATTCTCATGAGGATCAAACAATGTAGGTAGTCAAGGAACATCACGGACGCCAGGTGTGTGGGTACTGCGTAGGGCCTGGTCAAGCTCACCTTGTCATAGGGGGGTGGGATCCCGTCAAACACCTTGAGGCGGTCAAGGGCAGCCTGGCCACGCTTGGTCTTGTGGGGCAGCATGCCTATGGACAGAGGAGTAGTGCTCAGGAGGCTGTCCCCTTCCCCTTCGCCCCTCCCCAGGTGGGCAGATGGGTGGCCTCAGATGGTAGTGCATGTGAAGTCATCTCATGGTCGGGAAACTCGAACAGAAGTGGGAGAAGTCCTCATCATTGGCCACACACCCGCCATCTGCACACGCAGCCCAGGGACTTCTCACCTCGCACAGTCCGCCAAAAGATGCGGCTGGGGGCCCGGAAGTGGTAGGGGCCGCGGGATGGGTTGGTGTTCATGCGCTTGCGGAGGAAGGCCAGGTACTTCACTGTGGAAAGGAGTGAGCAGCTGACGCCCTGTCTAATCAGACCTAACGCCCCTGGCCCAAACTCCCAACTCCTCCCCATATAAGCACCCAGACTTGTAGTGCCCAGGAATCAGCACCTTTTACCACTAAGCATCTCACAGGCCAACTCATCAGCCCTCCTCCCACGCCCTAACTTACACTTGTTCCTGTAGAAATTGCCAGAAATGTTGATGCCCTCACAGCGCACGACCACCACCTTCCGGCCTAGTGGGAAGCAATCCAGGAGAGGAAGAGGTTAGGAGAGGACCTGACACCACCATCCATGGGCACTAACCTCCACGTACCACCCCACCTGAGTAGTCACTGCTGAGGGGCACTCCTCGCTGTAGAGCACAGACCACAACACTCAAGAAGACTGCTCAGGCTCTGAAGAGAGACACCTCTTGCCCCAAGTCACATGGCAGTAATCAGCAGAGCTGGATTTATGCTCCAGTTAAAGCTGGCCCAGAAGACCATCACTCCAGAGCCCCACGCCCTGGGGAGGAAGGGCTGGCAGGTCTCAGAGCGGTGCATGGGGTTGATCTCACGGTCGTGAGACTCAAACGAAAGATGGTGTTTGTTGCTCATCACTGACCTGCAGTTGGAGCAAACTGCGGGGATGTGCGGGCAAAGGGCACTTACCCAACAGCACCTGCTTGGCCACAATGGCCGCCAGGCGACCCAGGAGATGGCCTCGGCCATCAAGTACCAGGACCTGGGGAGACAGATTAGGTTAGAGGGCTCAGAGAGGGACCCACTGTCCTCTCGTCTCTACACAAGCAACCCCTTCCCCTTCTACTTCTGTTCCACCTCATCCTCTGTGTCCAACTACCAGATAACAAGTACCGTTCAAGCCCCAATTTACAGCAAGAAAAATGGTAAAAGGCAGACTCAAGATTTCCATCAGCAAGCACATCAGCCGCTAAATGTTAAGAACTCCCCTCACATCTTGGCTGCTCCACTATGGGGCTTTTAATGCCCAGCTTAAAATTTGGCTGGGATTTGTACCAAGACTATTCACTGCTAACAGCAGAACCTTTGAAAGAAGTTCAACGATCCTGACAGCACTTAATCCTTTGCCGATTTCAAAGATGAGATTTCTACAGTGCACTTTATAGCCAAAAAACCTGAGTTTCAAAAAGGGCTGGGGCTCTGCAACCCTGGGTAAAGTGAAGCAGTAAACCCAGGCTTTCTAGTGAGTATCACCACTCTCATTATGTTATAAATTACCGTGATTATATACTTAAGGAGCCCTGATGGCACAGTGGTTAAAGCACTAGACTACCTAAAAGGCTGGTGGGTGGAACCCACCAGCGGCTCTGTGGGAGAAAAGATCCGGCAATCTGCTTCCATAAAGATTACGGCCTTGCAAAACCTATGGGCAGTATCTACTCTGTCCTAAACGGCTGCTATGAATTAGAATAGGCAGCAAGTGTTTTTTGTTTTTAATATACTTTGTGACTGCAAGACGGCGGTGCAACAATGCACAACCTTCATGACAAGACTTCCGCCAAGAACCTCCAATTCTCCGTGCTTCAATTTCCTCACCTGCCAAGCGAGGGTGACAGATCTCCCTTAAAGACTTACTGTGATGAGCAACTGAGTTACACAACAAGAGTGCAAACTGTGCCACGCACCCAGAATAAAGTGCTGGGACACGCACTCAGATATCTTAACCATGTGCCTAGAACACAAAGCTAGGGTAATGAGCCCAGGTCTGCATAGACTCCAAACCGTGGTTTTACCCTTCCAACAAAGTAGACTAGTTAGAAAAAAATTAACAGGCAAACGTTTTCCAGAGTCATCCTTTCCTTCACATATCAAAGAACTACACTAGGAGCCAGAAAACTAAGAGCTAAGCTTCGGTTGTGATTGCCCGAGTGCCCCCGGGGACCAAGGATGCGCCGCAGCTTGAGAGCCCTCATCCACGAGCCTCACAAGCAAAGAAAAAAGTAACAGTGCAATCCTAAAGGTCCAATAGGCAGCTCTACTAGACAGGCTTCGTATCCCAAAATACCCGGAATCACAGGGAACCAAGATAGGCACTCGCACGTGAAGCAGCCCGCGCAGTGGATAGGGTGGGGGCTCTGGAAGGCGCAGAGGCGGATCCCACCGCGCCCGGGGCGAACGGCTTACATTCGGGCCATCCCTCGGTTTCTCATCCACCTGAGGCAGCCTAATCGTCTTCCGCCTGCTTCCTCATCGCTGGGAACACCTGGACACTTAAGGCCAGGGCGCCAGCATCCCAATCTCCCGAGACGGAGAGAAGAAAGTTATAAACTACCTCTTCCTCTCCTGGGAAACTCCCACCATCGCTCCTCGAGGAGGAATGAAAGTCCGCATTTTAGTCAGTCTGTCCCCGGCCTAAGAGCAGATCCGATTTCCTCCAAAGCGGTTTCTCCTACTACCTCCGAATTCTCCTTATCCCAAAGTCCCCCTTTTGTGTTCAATTATCAACCTTAGATTCCACAACCCATTTGCGAAGGACAAAAGGCTTCAACCTCGTCCCGGCCCGGAACCCAGCGGAACCCAGGCGAACCCACGCCACCCCAACCCGCGCGGAGGCCGCACCTGCCCCTCCGCCATCTTCGGCAGTTGCCTGGGAAAGAAGGAAGTTTCTGCGGCGGGTTTCTTATCCCCTGAAACAGGGGCGGCGGAAGTGACACAACACGGGCTTCCCGACCGCTTTCCGGCTTCTTAATTGGTCCAAGTGATAGACGCATGCGCAGAGTCGCTTGCGACGCCCACTGGAAGACGGTTCGTGTCCTGCCTGTCCGATCCGATTAGGGTTCCGATCAGACGTCAGCGGCCATGGGCGTGCTGGGTGAGAGATCACGTGGGGTGTGCCGACAGCTCTGCTGGGGCGGCCATATTTTTGAGGGGCTGCTAATCTTTCCAACCTTTCCACACAGGCTGCCCGCCTATTTTGTGAGGAGAAGCGCCATTACTCCCTCAGTCAACTGAAGGCTGCAGGGTACCTGGTGGCCTGCAGGGGGCGACCAGGCTCGCCCTTCTTCGCTCAGTCTAGTCTAAAGGTCAGGATTTCGGTGCCTGATCGGCCTCATTGAGACTTGGACAAACCTGTTTTGGCCTCAGTGTCCTCATCTCTAGAACAGGTGGAGGTGATCTCGCCTTTGAATTTCAAGAGTGTATGAAGCAACGAATTCCAGGTGCCTGGGCTGCAGTGCATCAAGCATCTGCTTGTTCTCGAAAGAGCTTCTCACTTTCTGGACTTGGCCTGGGCTGTGTACTTTGCCTGAGATGGCCTCCCCTCCAGCCCACCTTCCAAAAGCTGACTCGCTATATATCCCAGTGCGCTTTGGCTGCCCCAGTACCTAGTATCGCTCCCCCTTCTGTCGGTGCCCCCCAGGGTCCTGGTTTCTGCATTCAGAGCTGACCTTCCTCTCTCCTGCATACAACTGTCCCAGTTTCCCCAGTTCCCCCTGGTCAAATTCCAAGGTCTGCAGCCCTTGTTATTTGGCCCCTGCTGACCTCTTCAGCCTCTTCTGCCACTGTCCACTCCTCCTCCCTTCTCCACCCCATGGTCACTCTGCTCTAGCCACATTGTCCTATAGTCTCTTTTTTCTCCAAGCTTTGCATGTGTGTCACTTCAGTTTGGAAAACTCTTTGCCTGCCACCCTTTTCCTCAAAAACTCCCACTCCTCCAAATCAAGAGTCCTGTCCTCCAGAGAGCCCCACTGCCCATCCCAGACCAGGTCAGGTACCTCCTAAGGGCCCTCACAGTGCCTGCGCTACGTGCATTAAAGCACATGTCATGCTCCACTGTGGCTCTCTGGGTCTGTATCTTCTCCCCCGTGGGCCACGCTGGGTTCTGACTCCTGTCTGGGTCCCAGCATTGCCCAGCACTGGTCCTAGGCCCCTGGAGGCCTCAGAAGGCATGTGTTGAATGAAGCATGGTATTAACTGTAAAACCAAGGCTGTGAAACCCAAGCTGCCCTATCCCCACCCTGTCCCATCCACAGACAGGCCTGGCCAGAGCTGGTAGAAAAGGATGATTTATTTATATACAAATTCATAACGATGAGGGCTTTGTACAGAGGGCTTCCCGGCGGTCTTGGGGTTGAGCCTGGGTTCTGGTGTTGCCTCCATCCTGGGGAGAGATCGAAAGGGGCAGGGCGCCGAGAAGGGGACCAGCCTGTCGCTGACTTTCTCCACATCCTGGCTGTGTGTCCTCTGGCAGAGGACTCCCTTCTCTGGGCCTCAGTGTCCTCCTCTGTCAAGTGGGATGATAGATGCAAGCACTCACTATGTGCTAGGGCAGCGATGTTCAAAGACCTCTCTGTGATAAAGGAAAAGTTCCAAGTCTATACGATTCAATATGGCGGCCACCAGCCACATGGGACTATTGAGCACTTGACATGTGGCTGGTGCACTGAGGAACTGGATTTTTTATTTTATCTAATTTAATTTAAATTTAAGGAACTAATGCTCAGCAACAAGGGCTGAAATAAAAAATTAAATTTAGAAACTGACACTCAATTCAGTTTGGAAAACTTTTAAGTACATTTGGAACACTTGGGCCTTTGAATATACTTTTACAATAGTAAATTTCATGAACTATAAATGCAGATCAAGTGTTTCTGATGAAAACTTAGCATCTGAATCCTATATGTGCTGTGACTGTAAAATATACGCTGGATTTTGAAGACTTGTTAGTTGCCCTCGAGTTGTTTCTGACTCTGGGTGACCCCATGTGTGCAGAGTAGAACTGCTCCATAGGGTTTTCACGGCTATGATCTTTTGAAAGCAGATCACCAGGCCTGTCTTCCCAGGCGCCTCTGGGTGGGTTCAACTGCCAACCTTTCGGCTAGTAGTCGAGCACTTAATTGTTTGGGCTACCTAGGGACTGCTTTCAAAGACTTGGTACGAAAAAAAAAAAAAAGAATGTAAAATATCTCATTCATACTTTGTTACTATTGATTACATGTTGAAATGGCAATGCTTTGGACCACCTGGGTGAAGTAAAATATGTTATTTAAAGTGATGTCACATGTTTCTTTTTACTTTTTTTAATGTGGCTACTAGAAAATTTAAAATCACATGTAAGGCTTGCATTTGGTTTCCACTGGACAGCGGTGCTTTAAGGGAGTTCTGTGTGTCACTTCACTTAACCTCACAGTGACCCTATGGTGGAAGGATTATTATTAGAGCGTTTGAACAGATAAGGAAACTGAGGCAGAAGAGTGAAGGACTAAGGGACACAGATGCTGGAACCAGACAGGACAGAGTCAAATCTCGGCTCTGTCAACTCACGAGCTGTGTGACTTTTGGCAAATTGTTTACCTCTCTGTGCCTAGGTTTCAGCCTCTCTAAAATGAGGATAATAATGGCACCAGCCTCGCCAGGTTGATGTGGCAATTAATGAGTTAATCCTTAGAACACCCCAGCACAAGGCCTGGATCACTGTATGTGTGAGCAAGGACTGTCAGCTAGGGTCTCATCTCTTTCGTCCTGCACGGTCCACCTGCCTCCTGCTCCCATACCTGATCCCTGGGTCCTCCCTCCACCACATGCCTCCCATGGCTGCCCACTACCCTGGGCAGGAAATCCTGGCTCCCTGGCCTGGCGTTTGATTCCAGGCCTTGATTTTACTGTTGTCTTGCTCACTCCTGTTGAGCCCCTCTCCTGCACTGCCCCAGGCTGGCCCACATCACCGCACGCCTGCGCTTTTTCACACCTGCAGGTCTTTGTGGCTGTGGTTCCCTCTGCCTGGAATGCCGTTCCCTTCCTGCTCCAGGAGGCCAGCTCTCTCCTGGCTTATGAACTCTTGCATCCGCATGTCTCTCCAGACGTCCCCGGGCCCCTGGAGCCCACCAGTCCCCACTAAGCTCCGTTCTTTCCCTAATCCTGCTCCTCTCCCAGGTTCTCCATCTGGGACAGCCCCACTGTCCACCCAGTCATGAGGGGGTGGCGGAGCAGACCTGGGGTCGTCTGTGCCAATGGCCCCCTAGCCTGTCAGTTCTCAGCCCCATCCCTCCTACTCCCGACTCTCCCTGACCTGTCCCCTCCTCTTCCGATAGCCCCAGCTCAGGCCTCCTCCTCTCTCCCTGGGTGTCATCCCAGCCTCCTCGCCTCCAGTCTGTCCCCCATGGGGTCTTTCTAACACCAGTGCTGCCCCTGCTCACAGCCCTCCCTTGGCTCCCCAGTGCCCCCTCTCCACAGTCCATCACCCTGAGCTTGGCATTCGAGGCCCCACAGGGCATGACGGACTAACCAAGATGAGGTCCTGGCTAGGTCAGCGCTCCACAAGGTGCAGGGGCAGTCCGTCCTGGGGACTGGAGATGGGGGACACCTTGGGTCCCCAGAGTTAGCTGCTGGAGTGTCTGGGGCATCCTGCCCCCCCCCGGGCCCTCCGCCCCCCGCCCCCTTCCACCTCACCTGCTCGCTGGGACAGGGAGTCCTCCGCCGTCTCCTTCGCCCGTGCAGGCGCCAGGCAGCAGCCAGCAGCAGGAGCAGGACAAGGGGCAGCAGTAGCAAGAGGAACAGCAAAGGGCGCTGAGGGGTTGGCAGGGCCGTGGCTCCCAGAGCCCAGGGACTCCGTGGGGGCAGCGGGGTGGAGGGGTCTGGAGAGAGAGAGCAGCCTGGGTGAACAAGAAGGGCTAGGGCCAAGGAAGGAAAGAAAGGCCGGTCTCGTGGGTAGCTCCTCGCCTCTGTGGGCCTCAATTTCCTCATCTGTAAAATGGGGATAATGATTGTACTTACCTCATGAGGTTGTCACGAGAATGAAATGAGTGAATATGCAGAAAGTGCTTAGAACAGTGCCTGGCATAGCAAGTGTGCATTTCACTTTATAACTGAACTAACATGTTTTCAAAAACCAGTTGCTGGCGAGTTGATTCTGACTCACGGCGACCCCTTGTGTGTTGGAGTAGAAATGTGCTCCCATAGGGTTTTCGAAGGCTGATTTTTGGAAAGCAGATCTCCAGGCCTTTCTTTCGAAGCACCTCTGAGTGGATTCGAACTTCCAACCCTTTGGTTAGCGGCTGAGTGTCTTAACTGTTGGCGCCACCTAAAGATCAACATGTTTCTTTTGTTGTGAGTTGCCGTCAAGTCGATTCTGACTCATGGCAACCCCATGCGTGCAGAGTACAACTGCCCTCCATAGGGTTTTCAAGGCTGTGACCTTTTGGAAGCAGATTGCCAGGCCTGTCTTCTGAGGTGCCTTTCAGCTAGTAGTTGAGCGCTTAACTGTTTGCACCACCGAGGCACTCAACATGTTTCTAGTGCTTATATATCTGTGTGTTTATTTGTCTTCATCCTACCAGTAGCCTGTGAGATCTATGTGGGCAGCAGCAGCCTTATCTGTCTTGTTTATTGATAAGTCAGTGCTCATTAAATATTTCTTGAATGAATGGATGGATGGATGGATAATAAAACTAGAGGATACAATGTATGAAGAACTAATAATCCACAAGGCCCCACATGCTCTGGCCCCTTTTGTCCCCTGACTTCACCAAGCAGCCTTGGTGGTGCAGTGGTTAAGTGCTCGGCTGCTAACTGAAGGGTCGGAGGTTTGAACCCACCAGCTGCTTCTCGGGAGAAAGATGTGGCAGTCTGCTTCCAAAAAATCAGCCATTGTGACCGCCCTGAAGGGAATACAACAGAGAGCCGCAGATGGCGCAGGAGAAAAGTGGGGTGCAGAACTCAAATTCATGTAAAAAGACCAGACTTAATGGTCTGTCTGAGACTGGAGGAACCCCAAAAGATGTGGCCCCCAAACTCTCTGTTAACCCAGAACTAAAACCCATTCCCGAAGCCAACTCTTCAGACAAAGATTAGACTGGACTATAAAACATAAAATGATACTCATGAAGAGTGTGCTTCTTTGTTCAAGTAGATACACGAGACTAAATGCGCAGCTGTCTGGAGGCGAGATGAGAAGGCAGAAAAGGACAGGAGCTGATTGAGTGGACACGGGAAATCCGGGGTGGAAAGGGGGAGCGTGCTGTCACATTATAGGGATAGCAACTAGGGTCACATAACGATGTGTGTATAAATTTTTGTATGAGAAACTAACTTGAGTTATAAACTTCCACCTAAACGACAATTAAAAAAAAAAATCGGCCATTGAAAACTCTATGGAGCACAGTTCTACTCTGACACACATGGGGGCGCCATGAGTCGGACTGGACTCGACGGCAACGGGTATGGTATGTGTTGAAAAGATAATAATTTGGAGATACTGGGTTAAATAAAATCTGTTACTTAAATTACTATTTATTAAAACAATTATAATATTAAAATTAAATTCAATAGCCTAATTACAGAAATGGAGAAGAAATTATTGGTTGCTGAGGAGGTTAAGGATGGGGGCTTGCATGAGGGAGTCTTGTGGTGATGGTACAGTTAAGTGTCTTGATTATGGTGATGGTTACATGAAGCTACACGTGATAAAGTTGCATGGAGCTACATATGCATACACACACATGTAAATGAGTGTGTGTTGCTATTGTCAGTTGCTGTTCAGTCAATTCTGACACATGGCGACTCCATGTGTGCAGAGCAGAACTGCTCCATAAGGTTTTCAAGGCTGTGACCTTTCAGTAGCAGATAGCCAGGCCCATCTTCTAAGGCACTTCTGGGCGGGTTTGAACAGCCAACCTTTCAGCTAGTAGTTGAGCTCTTAACTGTTTGTGCCACTCAGGGACTTATTTGAGTGTGTGTATAACTGGTGAGATCTGAATAAATTCTATGGATTGCACCGACATCAGTTTCTTGGTTTCGATACTGTACTATAGTTAATGTTAACAAGCAAACGTTCACATTGGGGGAGGCTGGGTGAAGGGCACAGGGGCCCCCCTGCATGTTCGTTTGCAACTTCCTGTCAATCTATAATTATTTCAAAATTAAAAGTTTTAAAAATAACTATCCCATCAAAAGATGAGTGGATAACAAAATGTGGTCTATCCGTACAATGGAATATTATTTGGCCATAAAAAGGAATGAAGTTGTGCTATTTCTTATGACATTGATGAACCCTGAAAACATGATGCTGAGTGAAAGGAGCCAGACACCAAAGGCCAAATACTGTACGATCCCACTTGTAGGAAATATCCAGAATAGGCCAATGCATAGAGACAGAAAGTTACCAGGGGCCCAGTCGGAGAGAAAATGGGGAGTTATTGCTTAGGGGGTACTGAGTTTCTCTTTGGGGTGATAAAAAGTTTTGGAAATAAATAGTGGGGATGGTCAGAATTAAAACCATTCCCGAGGCCAACTCTCCAGACAAAGATTAGACTGGACTATGGGACATAAAACGATACTCATGAAGAGTGTGCTTCTTAGCTCAAGCAGATACATGAGACTAAATGGGCAGCGTCTGTCCGGAGGTGAGATGAGAAGGCAGAGAGGGTCAGGAGCTGGTTGAATGGACACGGGAAATCCGGGGTGGAAAGGAGGAGTGTGCTGTCACAGTATAGGGAGAACAATTAGGGTCACATAACAATGTATGTATAAATTTTTGTATGAGAGACTAACTTGAATTGTAACCTTTCACTTAAACTACGACAACTAAAGAAAAATAGTGCGGATGTTTGCACAACAATTTGAATAAAATTAATGCCACTGAAATGGTTAAAATGGCAAATTTTCTATTACATATATTTTACCACAATAAAATAAATTTAAAAAAACTATTAACTTGCTAAAAAACAACAAACATTAAAAATCCTGACAAAAAAAGAATTCACCTATTTTACTTTTTTCTGACAAGGCTACTAGAATATGTAAAATTACCCAAATTGCATTTTCATTGGACAGCACTGCCATATGGAGACAAGGCAGGGATTACTGTTCCCTATTCAGAGATGGATGGAGCCCTGGTGGCACAGTGGTTAAGCGCTTGGCCATCTGCTTTCGTAAAGATTACAGCCTAGGAAACTCTATGGGGCAGTTCCACTCTGTCCTGCAGGGCTGCTATGAGTCAGAATGGATTCCATGGCAATGGGTATTCACAGATGGGTAAACTGAGGTCCAGAAATCAGAAGGGACATGCCCCCCATCACACAGCCAGTGGGGAGCAGGGTAGGGTGAGAGTCACACCCAGTGTGGGTTGGAGGTGATGGGAGGCTGGGAAGGGGGTGGGGATGAGCACCAGTTAGGGGCACTGGGAGCCTTTACCCGGCTGACATTGCAGCTCCAGGCACTGGGAGAAATTCCGGCTCTTGATCTGGGGCTTCAGAGCAGCCAGCTGCGCAGAGGTGTCCTGCAGGAGGTGGGAGATGTTGGTCTGGACGAAGCGAAGACAGCTGGGGAGGGGCTGGGGGCAGGGGAGGGAGACGTCACCACCGCATCACCCCAGCATCTCCTCAGACCTAGGGCCCCACCCTGCCCAGCAACAGAGCCTTGAAGGCCTGGGTCTCTAAGACAGTTTAGATCCCCTATCTATTGCTCCCTGGTTGCTAGGGGAAATACCCCTTAGCAACGCCCAGCAACAGGGCTCAGATAGGACTGGGTCTGAGAGAGTTTAGATTTCCTGTCTCTCCCTGGTTGCTAGGGGAGTGAACCCCTTAGCAACGCCCAGTCAGGTTTGGGTCTGAGGGAGTTTAGATCCCCCAACTATCTCTCCCTGGTCGCCAGGGGAAACACCCCTTAGCAACGCCCAGCAGCAAGGCTCAGTTAAGCCTGGGTGAGAGAGTTTAGATCTCCTATCCCTCCCTGGTTGCTAGGGGAAACACCCCTTAGCAACGCCCAGCAGCAGGGCTCAGTTAGGCCTGGGTCTGAGAGAGTTTAGATCTCCTGTCTCTCCCTGGTTGCTAGGAGAGAGAACCCCTTAGCAACGCCCAGCAACCAAACCAAACCAAACCAAACCTATTGCCGTCTAGTCAATTCCAACTTATAGTGACCCAGCAAAGGCCTGGGATATCTGGCCCACAGAAATGGCCTACAACGTTCATGTCCTCAGGTGGCTAGAGAAGTGTCATTTATTCCCACAACACCCAGCCATGGGCCTGGTGAGCCTGGGGTTCCAGCCTCCACCTTCCTTGGATTGCTCTGGTCAAATGAAATCTCCAGGAAGGCCTAGCTGAGCATTACCCCTACTCCCTAGGAAGACATCTCGCACACCTCACTTGGCCTCAAGTTCAGGGCTGACCTGGAAGGCACATGAGGTGACAAAGTGTATTTCAGTGTCCACAGCCTCCAGCAGGATGTACATCTGGGACCCAGCCACTGTCTTGAGGCGTATCATCCAGCGCTGGGCCAGGACCAGCCGCCAGAGCGCCCCGCAGACCTCGTCCTGGGGAGACACAGCCCACACTCTGGGCTCTGTGTGCGGAAGGGGTTTGGGGCCGGGACTCCTAGGTCTGAGGGAGGAGGGGGCTGAGGGCTGGGACTTCTGGGTCTGAGGCAGGAGGGGGCTGGGTTTTGGGACTCCTGGGTCTGAGAGGGAGCCCTAGTGGCACAGTGGTTAAGAGCTCAGGCTGCTAACCAAAAGGTCAGCAGTTCAAATCCACAGCCAGCTCCAAGGGAGGAGGTGGTTGAGGGCCCAGGACCTCTGGGTCTGAGGGGCCTGGACTACTGTGTCAAAGGGAGGAGGGGGCTGGGTTTTGGGACTCCTGAGTCTGAGCGAGCAGGGGCTGGGGCCTGGCACCCCTGGGTCTGAGGGACAAGGGGGCTGGGGGCTCCAATTCCTGGGTTTGAGGAAGGAGGGGGCTGGGGACCTGGATTCCTGGGTCTGAGGGAGGAGGGGGCTGGGTCGGCAAACTAGCCTGGTCCCCTGAAGGGTGGCGATCTGGAGTCTCTGGCTCCCACCTCCATCCCAGGCCCCTCCCATCTGTGACTCACGTCCTGCAGGTTGGAGGCAACAGTGACTGGATAGTCTTGAAGCAGGTAGTCAGACTGCGGGAGAGAACAAGCTGGCTGAAAACGGAGGGGATGGAACTATGGAGACTTGGAGAGATGGAGGCAGAAAGTGCCAGAGAGAGGGGAGAGAGATTCAGAGAGAGGGAGACATAGACCCAGAGAGAAAGGGGGACAGAAACCCAGAGAAAGGGGGACAGAGACCCAGACAGAGGGAGAGACAGGTACTCGGGGGTGGGGGGACAGGGACCCAGAGAGAGAGGGGGAAAGAGACCCAGAAGGACAGGGAGGCAGAGACCCAGAGAGAGAGGGGAACAGAGACCCAGAGAGAAAGAGAGACAGAGACCCAGAAGGAGAGGGGGACAGAGACCCAGAGAGAGAGGGGGACAGGGACCCAGAGAGAGAGGGGTACAGAGACCCATTGAGAAGGGGAACTCAGCCTCAGCCTCAGAGGCCTTCAAAGGGCTGCAGGAGCGGTCGTGGCAGGGCGCTCACCAGCTTGCGGAAGGCGACAGCGAAGTTGGAAGAGATGGGGCTTTGGGGGAAGGTGCAGTCGGGGGTCCCGCCGAGGCCGGGGCTCAGCAGTAGCAGCAGCAGCAGGGAGGTCTGCGGGGACGGGGCGCCCTCTAGTGACTCACACCCGCAGCCCCACCCATGGCCCCCCGCAGCCCCTTTTCCTCTCCCTCTTTCTCCCTTCCCGGGTCATTAATCTTTTCTACCTCTCTGTCCCCGTCCATCCCCGTCTTTGCCCAGTTCCCCACGTCTCGCCCTCTGCCCAGCGCCGTCCAGCCGTCAGTCTTTTCGCCCCCACTGCTGCTCCTCCGCCCACCTGCTTCCATCCCGCGTCCCTCTGCCCGCCCCAGCTCCTCTGGTCCTTGGTCCTGTCCTCCCCATTCGTACCCACACCTGTCCGTCCCGCCCCAAGTCTGTCCACATCTCCTGCTCCTGTCTCTTCCCACGTCCATCGGTCTTTCCTCACCATCTGTCCACCTGTCCCCACATCTTTCCGTCTTCCCCACGGCAGTCCATCTTGTCTCTCCCCACCTTTATCTGCTCCTCCCCATGCATGTCCAGTCTCCCCCATGCCTGTCCACATCTCCGTATGTTTGTCTTACCCTAAGTCTGTCTGTCTCTCTCCATGTCTTTCCGTCCCTCCTTCACCTATTTGTCTTTCACCCACCTTTATCCATCTCCCCTACATCTGTCCACATCTCCCGCACCTCTGTCCGTCTCTCCCACCTCTCCCCACTTCCTCTGGCTCTGCCCGTCTCTCCTCCCCTCTGCCCCACCTTGACACTGCCCCCCCCCCCGACCTTGTCCCCACGTGTACGCACCGTGGGGCTCCAGGCTGGCGCCAGCACTGTCATCTCGGCCCGGGGCCCCTCATGCCTATGGCAAGCTCTTGAAAGGGACAGAAGAGCCAGTGGCGGACCCACACCCTGCATCCCCTGTCTCACCCGCCCCTCCACCTTCCCGCCCCTCCCTTGCCCCCTTGATGTGGCTAAGTTTCCGCCTCCTGCTCCTGCTGGCTTCCTGCATGAGCCCCAGTTACAGTGAAAACTCATCTCCCCTTCCAAGAACCCCGATGTCCGGCCCCCGGAACCCCCTTCAGGTCAGGGACCTAGGGACCCCAGGAACCCGAACCCCCACCTCCTGCCTCAGCAAGAGAAGGGGCCCCGCCCGCCCCTAGGGGACCCACAGCCCAGTTCTCTCCACGCACCAGGCTTCCCCAGCTGGGTGTGGAAGGGGCCAGGCCGGGTGACAGCGAGAGATCGAAAGTGAAAGGAAATTTTTTGGGGGAGAATGTGAACTGGGGTGGAATCTGGGCCGACGGGGAGGGCGCCACCTGGTGGTAGCAGGTGGCACCGCAGATGGCGCCTTCGAAGGACTCTGGTTTCTAAGAGGGACCAGGGCCGGGTGGATTGGGTGGGGGGATGTCCGAAGGCGGCGAGCTGGGGCTTGAACCCAGATCTTCCTGCGCTGGAGCCATTGCACACGGGACCAGGAGCAGAGTCCCCTTTATCTATTTCACAAACACTGCGTTGTATCTGAGTCAGCCCAACTGAGGTTTAGTTCTAAATCTCAGCGCTAAAACGGCCTCAAACAGACCTGAAGTTGGCGCTCCCTCCCTCCCCTCAAGAAGCACAGCCAGGGTTAGTCAGACGGTTTATTGGACGGCACTGGGACCATAATCAGGAATGTTCCACGTGTCTGGTGTCCACTGGGGTTCTCTCTTCTCTGTCTAGGTTGGAGTGGGTGCACACTCAGGTCAGTCCCCCATGGGCAGCCACAGGGCCTTGGTCCGTGCTGCTCGAAGCCTGAACTCTGGGCCAGCCCCTTCGGCCTCCTGATCCCAGGCCCGCCGGCAGCCCCCATTCACCCACACCGACTTGAGGTTTCCCGCGGAGGCCCACTCCACAAACTGGGATCCCTGGAACGGGGAGAGGAAGGGGTCAGCACTTCCACTGTTCCTTGCTAAACAGTAACTAGGTCTATTCCTAAGCAGGAGCCTTTGGACTCTGTGGCTATAAGGCTCAGCTCCTAGCGAGCAAACCTTCCAGATGCTGAGAGAGAAGAGGCAGACCCTTGTGGTTAGGGAGTTTCCTCATCATCTGCCCATGTTCAAGGGAGTCGGGGCCAACGCTCTTTTTGACAAGGAGTTGCCAACCAACAGGTTTGAGAGGAGACTGACTCTCTTGCTAGGACTGGGCCTTAGCAACTGGCTGTCCAATAAGAGTAGGTCTTTGGGCTGAACAGACTCTCGGACCCCTGTTGCTAGGGAGAGCCTCTTCCTTAGCAACCAGGGTCCTAAAAGGGTAGGACCTGGGAACCTTGTTGCCAAGGCATTGCTACTCTTCAGCAACAGGAATTCTCAGCGGGTGGAACCATGTGCCCTGTAAAGGAAGAGACTGATGGTCAAAACTAACACCACATCTGAAGATGTGGTCTTAAGGTGGCAAGACAAAGGGTACCTGGGCAGATCCAAAATACCACAAGGCCTGGATGTCCTGGTGCAAGACCAGGCAGCGTGTCAGATGGTCCCGGTCTCCCGTCACCACATTCACCAGACCAGCTGGGAACAGGGTAGCCATATCCTAGTGGGTGAGAGGGGGAGGCCCAGGGTTGGAAGGGAAGGAGTGAGAGACCCCAGGGCAGTGGTGGCAGGGGAAGGGGTGAGCATGTGGGACATGGTTATGGGGCTCCTCCAAGGAATGGGGTTGGGGTCTTGGACTTGCGAAGGCTAGGGGTCTGGAGGGAATGGTTACTGGGTCTATGAGGGGTGAGGGGCTGGGGTTACCCAAGGTTAGCAGGGGGTGGAGTACGAGCCAAGCTCCCAGCAGGCGGTGTGGCACCTTCCCCTCCCCCACCCATCTGCCTGCCCCAGGTGCTGCTGGGAGCAGCAGGCAGGAAGGTGATAGTACCTGGCAGACCTCCAGGGCAGGCAGGGGGCAGGCCCCGCTGGGCACCATGACTAGGGTGTTGCCATAGGCAAGGGCGGCAGCCAGCAGGGACACAAAGGCGAGCAGAGGCCACTCATCCGGGCACACGATGGCCAGCACGCCAAGAGGCTCCCGCAGCCGCAGCACTGGGCCTTGCAGCCCTGCAGCCTGAAGACCAGGCGGGAAGTCAAAGGCAGATTCAGCAGGGCCTCCTCCATCCCCTGCCCCTTTCATCCCTATCTCTGCTTCTCCATACACCACAAGTAAAAAAAAAAACAACAACACAAAAAACCAGGGGAGGGTTCAGACTGCCTGCGTTCAAATCCCAGCTCTGCCACTCACCAGCTGTGTCACCTTGGGCACATTAGTTAACCTCCCTGAGCCTTAGCTTCCCATCTTTTTTTTTTGAAGGATCAAAAAGAATTTCAAAGCTGGCTAATTTAGGAGAATTATTTCTTTTTTTTCTGAATTTTAAATTTTTTTTATTGCACTTTAGACGGTTTACAGAGCAAACTAGCTTCTCATTAAACAATTAATACACATATTGTTTTGTGACATTGGTTGCCAACCCCACAACATGTCAACACTCTCCTCTTCTCGACCACATGTTCCCTATTACTAGCCTCCCCACCCCCACCCCCCACCCCCGCCTTCTCTTCTTGCCCCTGGGCTGGTGTGCTTATTTATTTAGTCTTGTTTTGTTTCATGGGCCTGTTTAATCTTTGGCTAAAGGGTGAACCGCAGGAATGACTTCATTACTGGGCTAAAATGGTGTGCGGAGGCCATATTCTTGGGGTTTCTCCAGTCTCTGTCAGGCCACTAAGTCTGGGTTTTTTTTGAGTTAGAATTTTGTTCTACATTTTTCTCCAGCTCTGTCCGTGACCCTCTATTGCGATCCCTGTCAGAGCAGTCAGTGGTGGTAGCTGGGCACCATCTAATTGTGCTGGACTCAGTCTGGTGGAGGCCGTGGTAGTTGTGGTCCATTAGTCCCTTGGAAGGAGAATTTCTTAGGTGTGATCAATAACATGGCTTTCTCACTCAGATTACAAACCAAATAGAATCACTGTCTCATTTTTATCAGTTGCTATTGCAACTGATAAAACCTGTTGCTGTTGAGTTGATTCTGACTCATATCTACCCTATAAGACAGAGTAGAACTGCCGCATAGGGCTTCCAAGGCTGTAAATCTTTCTCCCGCGGAGCAGCTGGTGGGTTCAAACCACGGACCTTTCGGTTAGCAGACGAGTGCTTACCTACTGTGCCACCAGGGCTCTGTAGTGTATGATATTCATAGATATATAAGCATATACAGTAAAACCTGCAAAAGCTGGAAACTGTATAAGGCAGAAACCTGTCAGAGAAGGAAAACTCAACTATTTCCCACTAAAATAAGCGATAGAAAAGTGCTAAGCCTGCACCCTGTCAAGGGCGGAATACTTGAGACCTCAAAAAACAAGTCAGTCCCATTGAGTTCCGGCTCTCACAGGTTTTACTCTGCATATATGTATACATATATTACATTTTCCACCCAATCCAGTTAAAAACCAAACCAGCTGCCGAGTCGATCCTGACTCCTGGTGACCCCATGTGTGTCAGAGTAGAACTGTGCTCCGCAGGGTTTTCAGTGGCTGATTTTTCAGAAGTAGATTGCCAAGCCTTTCTTCCCTCAGCTTCCTAGCTTTAAAATGATGACAAGCATGTCTACTTCCTAGATTTGCTGCAAGAATGAAGAGTTAATGCACTTAGAGGGCTCAGAACCTGGCCCGTGGGTTGTATGTGTGTGTGTTATGGACTAAATTGTGTCCCCCCAAAATATCCTCTAGAATCCTAATGTCACACCTGTGAGTGTAATCCTGTTTGAAAACTGGGTTTTCTTTGCTATGTCAATTAGACCACACATGAAGACGGTGGGTTGTAAATCTAATCACTTCTGAGTTATAAAAAGAGCATATTAGACACAGAAGACACACACAGGGGGAAGAGGAAGGCAGACAATGGAGACAGATGCATCTACAGGGATTGCTGGCAGCTACCAGAAGCTGGAAGGAGCCCTGATGGCGCAGTGGTTAAGCACTTGGCTGTAAACCAAAATGTCGGCAATATGAACCCACCAGTCACTCTGCGGGAGAAAGATGTGGCAATCTGATTCTGTAAAGATTACAGCCTTGGAAATCCTATAAGGACAGTTCTACTCTATGCTATAGGGTCACGAGGAGTCTGAATCAACTCAGTGGCAATGGGTTTGGTTGTTTGGTTTGACTGAAAGCTGGAATAGGCAAGGAAGGACCTCATGGAGAGCCACACCTTGAATTGGGCCTTCTGGGCTCCTAAACTGTGAGAAAATAAACTTCTGTTCGTTGAAGTCACCCACTTGTGGTATTTGTGTTACGGCAGCACTAGGTAACTAAGACAATGTGTGTGTTTAAAAAAGCTTTATGGAAGTATAACTGACATTCAGTAAACTACACACATTCAAAGAGTATGGGAGACAAAGAACTAGATTTGGCCTTTGTCTTTGGTTCCTGAGAGATCACCCAAAGAAACCCAAACCTACTGCCGTCAAGTCGATTCCAACTCATAGTGAACCTGTAGGACACAGCAGAACTGCCCCATAGGGTTTCCAAGGACATAAATCTTTATGGAAGTAGACTGCCACATCTTTCTCCTGTGGAGGATGCTAGCTGGTTCCGGTGGGTTTGAAGCGCCGACCTTACAGTTGGCAGCCGACCTTACAGTTGGCAGCCGAACGCTTAACCACTGTGCCACCAGGGCTCTTTGGTCTTGAAAGATAGCCCTTGGAATTCCCCAGCAACTGAGGTGCCTTTATTATGTAAAACATGAGAATGTGTGCAAATGAGTGGGGGCTACACACACCAACCAGGCAGCTACCCTCAGGAAGGGAGGGAGGCATAATTCAATCATGCTGTCAGTGATTGATTCAATCATGACCATGCCAGGAAAAGATAAAAAGCTTTGAATATGACAGTTCGGTGGGGGGGGCTTCCTGCATTGTGGAGAACACATGCTCTTGGGAGGGTGGCATGTCGCTGGGGACAATGAAAGCCTCCCACCAGGACCCCTCCCAGACCGCACCCTGTGCATCTCTTCTTTTGTATCCTTTCCGATTATAATAAATGGGTAACTCTAAGTATAGATACCGTATTCTCCGTGAATCCTGTGAGCCATTCCAAGGAACTAACGAACACACAGGGTGGTAGTGAGAGAAGCAGGGGCTGGTGTCTGCCTATTTGGCAGTCTGAAGGACTGAATCCTAATTTGTACGCTCTAACTTAACTCAGGGTGGCTAGGTTAGAGAAAGGCTGTGTGGGCAGTCAATCTGAAGGATAAAGCTCTTCTAACTTGTGACAAAATTATTTTGATTCTCCTGGAATCCAGATTTCTGGGTCCATGGAATTGGGGTGACCCACCCAGGCCATCCACCCTTAGATGTCCTTCTGAACTTTAAAGGAATGGGTTTCCTGAAGTCACCTTCAGGTCAAACAATAGCACAATAAACAGCTTAGCTGGGATCGTTTTACCTTAGACATTGGGTTCTTTTGGAAAATTATCTATGTTCAGCCAGCTTAGAGAAGCAGGAACTAGAGGGTCTGACAAGAGGCTGTGTTTTAGAATGTATGGCAGATCCTCGGTGATACTGTTTCTGTACACTTGCGGTGTAATGAATTGATTTTGTGTGGCCTTTCTAGCCATGGTCTTGTAAATCCCACCCAAGTGACTGGGTGGGACTGTGTGATAGGGTAATCATAACCCACCAAAGGGATTGCTCAGTTCTGCCATCACACTGGGCTTGAAATGAGCCACCCCAGAGGCAGGTAAGAGAGGAACCCACCACCACCAAGGAAGAACAGCCAGGAGCGAGCACATCCTTTGGACCTGGGATCCCTGCACTGAGAAGCTCCTGGAAGCAGGAGACTGAGAGAGAGAGAGAGCTGTAACCCTGAAGATGGTGAGAAGCGGTGGCAGGAAAGACCCAGCAAGAGAGACCCAGCAGCAGAGGATCACGCAGTGGGCTTTCTGGCCCACGGAGAGAAAAAGCTGAGTGCCTTTGGGCAGAGGCTGAGGGACAGGCCAGGGAGATGCATGCCTGTGAGCACAAATGAGAAGAGGCTGTCCTGATGGAAGAACTGTATCCTGAGTGTTTCTGAACCTGAACTGTAACCTGTTACTTCCCTAATAAACCCCATAATCATGAGTATGGTCTGTGAGTTCTGTGTGGCCAGTACAATGAATTATTGAAACCAGCAGAGAAGTAGAGAGTGTCGTGGGAGGGATGATTGGTGTCAAGACTGGTAAAGATGGCAGAAAGAGGAGGCAAGTCTGACTTCCACCTCCTAGGAATTAGCCTTGGGCTGTTAACCTTGATTCTCCTTCCCCCTTGTGAAGTTAGAGGTCAGACACTGTACCCATGGTTTTTTTTTTTTTTTTTTTTT